GGCCGGGGACCGGGTCTGGTGGGCTGCGCAGCCGGGCTGGGCGGCATTCGGGCGGCTTCGGAAGTCGTGTCGGACCCACAGGGGCCGATTTTCCGTGTTATTTTTCTCCGTGGAGCCCCGTGAAGCTCTGATCCGCACTGTCATGGCCTGCCGTTACCGAGCTTGTGCTCCTGCTTCTCCTTTCGTAGTTTGAGCTGTAATAAAGGGACAGTATCTGGTGGGTGTCTCTTCTCTTTGTTAGGGGTGTTCACCGTACAGTACATGCAAATACTCCTCATAATTGGTTTTATAAGGAGGAGGGGCTTTGAAGGTGATTGTACTCACTCTAAGGCTTTTTCCCCAAAAGGGGGTTGCAAAAGTCTCCGAGGCAGCATGGAGGTGGGAAGAGTGTTTTGCAGTGAAGCAGGCTGAGCTCTCCCATGGCACACTTTTCCATCCAGCATGGCTCATCCAGCCCCGTTCTATACCCCATGCTCCCTTCGGGCCCTCCCAGAGTGGTTTGTTTGTGCCAGAGTGAGGGCTTGGGTCTGTTGTGGGCCACATCTGGGCTGTGAGCAGAGATGAGCACAGACCTGTGAGCTGGGCAGATAAAGGCAAGGATGGGAGTGACGCTTGTGAGGGGGGTGGCAAGATTAGGGCTGAGGTCAGGAGCCATGAGTTGGGATTTTTGTTTTGCCTTTTTTTTCTTTAACTGTCTGTTCAGCTGCATGTTGTGACCAGGAGTCAATATGAACTATGATGTGTCCGTTTCACTAGTGTGCATTTACCCCAGTGGAGAGGGTTAAAGGAGGTGCCTTTTCTGGATGCAAATCCTCCTGTAAATGTCCTGTATTGACATCAGTGGTTGAAATCTCCTGTGTTTGCCATCAGTTGTGTATGGTGTTTGTACACTGACTGCATTTAAGTTACTGTTTTTTCGGAGCCCTAAATTAATGGGCTTGGTTCTGTCTCCAATTGCTTTGCTATTAATTAATCCAAGATGTTTTCATTACTTAAATGTCAGTGATTTAAATGTATCCCAAAGTATAGTAGTACTTGGTTTAGTTTTGTGGTTTCAGTTTGTTTTGTTTGGGGAAAAAAAAATTCAAAATTTGTGCAACAGACAGTGTACTGTGTAATTTATGTAGTTTTCAGGTTCATGTTTTGATAAAATTTTTGTTATTTACCTTACTAATTTGCTAAAAGCATTCTGAGTTTCTGACAAATTCCATCAAAGTGAAGATTATATTAAAGGGCTTATCAAATAGTGAAAGTAGTTATTTTCAATGTTGCATATCCCTGTCTAGATATGCCTCTTTTAAAATCTACTAGCTTGGGCACAAAGCTTTGGTATCTGCCTCTCTTTTACTACAGTTAAATATTAAATACATTTTCCTTATCTGCAATTGTTGTTTGACTTTTTTTGTGGAGAAGGGAAGAAATCAGTCTTGAAATTTCACATTAATCAGGTGTCTGTTTACACCATCCTTTCAAAATGGAAAGATTCATTTATGGATGGAATTCTTCAATGGAGTTCATTTTCATGTTTTACCTAAAAGTCACGTCATCTTGGTGTCATCCTAAGGCATCAGGTCAGTAATTGTTCAGTCCTGGTCTGCAAGAATGCCGTCCAGCATGGCTTGAGCCGCTGATATCAAACCCAACTGCAATACAGTACCTGACCATCCTGCTGTTGTCTTTGAAGAAGGAGTGACCTAGAAGTGTCAGGACGTCAGTTGTGGGTTGTTTTCTTTTCACCCTGAATTTATTTTTGAGCGATTGTAGTGATTCAGACTAATCACTGAAGCTCTGAAGAGTTTTCCTGTTGGAAGAACAGCCTCTCAGGACCTAGACCTTAGCCATGCCTGCCCTAATGTTCACACTCCCAGCTTTCCAAAAGGTAGTTGTCAGCTTCTGACTTCTGAGAGCCCTACAGTCTGACTCTGCTGGAGCAGCTTTTCTTGCCTTTTTTTTTTTTTTTTTAATTTGATTCAGTCCCAGAATTAATCAGCAAGCTCCCCAGGGAGGTAGTCATGGTACCAGGCCTGACAATATTCAAGAAGCATTTGGACAACGCCCTCAGACACATGGTCTCAATCTTGGGATTGTCCTGTGCTAGGGATAGAGTTGGACTCGATGATCCTTGTGGGTCCCTTCCAACTCACAACATTCTGTGATTCTATGAATCAGTGTAAGCTGATTACCAAGGATGTCTGCCTCTTGCCTGGGGCCTGTCATCCAAGGGCAACCACTTTAGGAAAACCCCCTTTTATTTGAGCTTTTCTCTTCTTGCCTATTTTTATACTTCATCTGTCTCATGTTGACTTTCACGCACATTGTGTTGGCTTGGACTTTCTCCCCTTTTGAGTGCGAAGGAAGCTTTCAGGGTTCATCTGGGAAGCATTACTTTTGCCTTTTAAAACATACCTGGATTACCATGATATTTTTAAAATTTAGAGGCCAAGTATAAATATATTTGTTGCACACTCGTAATGTATTCAGCCTTTTTTAGAGACCACATAAGCTTCATTAATAAAAGTAGTGATAAACTTGCTATTAGAGCCACCTGAGCTGGGAGACCTGTATCTGAACTGTGGATTATCAAGGGACTGTGCTGGGAGGACTTTCCATCATTGCTGCTCTTTTGCCAGTGCATGAGGCCCACTTACACCAAACACTGCAGACATCTGCTGTGCTTTTTTTGGTAACTGATCATTTTTGTGACTCCTGGGAAATAGAAAACACAAAAACCAGAAAGTTCTGATTTACTTTTGTTCAAATGTGTATGTATATGAGAGCTATGTCTTCTTGAGAAGAGTTCAAGAGCAGAAAGAACATCACAGTATTAAAGCAAGGACTAAAGGTACACTTTAATATTATTAATAAAAATAATGAAAAAAATCTTAAAAATCAATCCTTGACCATCAGTGTGAAAAGAGTGTTTTACATACTCTGCATGGTACAGACCAGTTGTTGATGTCAGTAGAGGACACAGTTGACTCTCCATCATGGCATTGTTGGGAGACGTTTGCATCCAGAGAAGGCACCTTATCAAAATCATCCTGGAGAGGTGCGTCCTTTTTGCGGATTTTGTTTTCCTCAGGTGTTTATCCGAGGAGGACTATGATTGTGGGTAAGGTAGGAATCAGCAGTGTTGAATCAAATACACTGATTTTCTGACCCAGTTTCGTTTCTCATTCACAATCTGAATTACCAAGGTACTTAGGAAGTATTCATCGAACCTTTCCCCATGCAGATGTGTGATAACCATCCCTCTTTTTTGAGCTCAGTTGTTTACTTTTTTTGTGTGTCAGTGCCAGTTTATGCAGTTCCCAGCTCTGGCTGTTCTCTTCCTGTGCTACTCCTCTAGCTGGCTGGTGCAGCTGGCTGGGGATCTCTAGATGAACTGCATCAGGAAACTTTACCTGGGTTAAAATAATCTTTTTTGGATAGGATCCTTTGTAACTTGGGGGAGTTCTGTGATCTGGTTCATGTGTAGTTTCACAACTGCAACTGAGCAGCTGGAAGGAAGGTAAAAGTAAGAGTGAGGGAGAGGAGGTGGGATCTACTTAAGCCATTACATCTGCTGAAAGAATTGGGCATGTAACTATGCCTTGAAAAATGGAGGTGATAGATCTGGGCATCGGTCAGTCCTTGCTCGTTTAATGGCATTAAGATATGGGATATTTTGGTTTTCTTATGCACATTAATTTGAGGTTGTAGTGCCAAAGTGTGTGCAAAGAAAAAGATTTAATTGCATAGTAGAAATGTGCTGATTAGATGGTACATTTTTTGCAGGCATATTGTTATTTTGTATTTTAGTTATTTCAATCAGCTTCCCAGCTACTAATGTAAGATCTAATGATCTAAAGTGCTGTACCACAGCCCAAGAAACTGTTGTTCTCATCTTTGTTTGTTTATATTGTGGGCACATCACTTGCTGTCCTCCAGCCCTCTGAAAGAGTAACTCTTGGGGAAAATATTCACCTTTTTCTTGTATAAGTGAGATTGTTTCAAAGTAAAGACCAAAGATATTTATCGTCCTTCTGGTTATCTGCATCTATGTGAAGATTAAATATAGAGACATCTGCATATAAATTATTTATAAAGTGATCTTTTGACAGACCAATGATGTCTGTCTTTGTCATGTGGTATTTGTAATATGCTTGGCGTTGTCTGTTGAATCTAGTTTGGTTTAGATGTATGTGAGAATGCACTTGCTCGCTTGCTCTCTATCTTTCTCTCTTTTACTTATGCATGATAGACAGTACTGATTTCTAATTATGCCGTGTCCATATTACATTAGCAGGTATGTTGACTGTCTTGTCGTTTGTTATTTTCAGGCACGTGGCCATGGAGGCTATGATTCTGATTTTAGTGATGAGGAGAATGGAGAGAAGTCTGTGCGAAAGACTAAAAGGTAATCTAGTGCAGATTTAACACTCTGCATTATGTGTTTTGTGCAAATGGCCTATTACTGTGTATAGAAGATTATGCTGTGGTATGTGAAGTCTGGTGTCAGAATGGTTTTTGAAAAAATCAGTCTCTGATTCCTGCATCTCCTCATGTCAAGCTTCCCAAAGCATGTTGTCTCCCAGGGGCAGCTGATTAAGATCCATTCTGCCATGTCCATCTGGTGCCTATGTGCCCCTCAGTTCTTGTAGCAGAGCGTTAGTATCATCTGCTGGGGTTTGGCTGAGCTGTTCACTTCACTGTGACCCATCAGGACACATGGAACTACTAAGAGAGCAAGGCAAAAGAGGCCAAGTGGCAGCAAGCTTTGTAGATGTAAAACACCTGCTTGGAGGAAGTGAGAAACTGGTGCTACTTGTTAATTATTTAATTTGTAAAGAGAGCAATTTGTGAATCGTGTTGTACACAGTCCTTGACATGCCACTACACGTCTTTTATTTGAGATCGCCTTTGCCAGTTCGTTCAGTGGGTCACATAATTAGTGACCTTGAATTTTGTGGTCCGATGTTGTTATATTATTAAGACTGTTATTTATTTATGTATTTATTTTGATTTGGCAGCGTAGACCTTCAACACTTTCTGCACTGTACTGAGCATTTTGCCTATGTTGTACATATATTTTTCTTACCTCTTTCTGTCTCTTCCTTGCTCTGTTACTAGACTTTATTTCAGAGGGCTTTCTGGAAACTTTCCTAGGACTTTTGCATATTTTCCTTGGTAGTAAAATTGAAAGAATGGGTTTTGTAGTGTCTGACTGCATTCTGGGAAGAAAATCTGTGTTTTAATCATTGGAATAATAGCAGGCATTGTGCTGTTCCATTTATTTTATAAATATAGCTGTTCTTCATTAAAACAGTGACTGGTTTTGTTTAGTTTTCATTTTCTTTTAAAGGCCATTACACATTATGCCATTCCACTTTCTAGGTGGAATATTAGCTAACCATCAGGAACCTTTCAAAAATATCGTTGTTACCCTTGTTCTGGCATACACTAGTGCTGATTCCCAGTAGGGCTCTAATGGGAGTTCATTGTATATGTATATATCCTTTTCTTGCTGTATGATTATATTTTATTTTCACTTTAAGGAAAATAGTATTCTCAAGTTTTCTCCATATTGTTGTTTTATGGAGTCTCCTTACGGGAAAGTTGTGGTTACAGATCCTTTTGAGCAAATGATACACTTAGTTTCTAGAGTCCTATATTCCATAGCTTGAAACAAATTCCCTGGCTCACTTTATACAGGTTTCTGACTTCCATTCTTTCTGCCAGCTGGTAATTGTGGAAAAATCTCTTCTTCACCTCTGTTGAGGAATGAAACTAACTAACTAAGCCTTTTACTGGCTGAAGTGCATCACTTGAACTTTTTATTACTTTGTTGAATTCTGAAAGGATTTTTAACTGCCCACTGCCAAGTACAGTTCACAACACAGTACTTAAGTTTTAAATTAGTGATTCCTGTGATTATACTAAGAGAGGAAGAGCTGTTTAATGAGATTTTGAGACAGTGGCATGAAAGGATGGGATAGAGGTACTCATAGTCACTCTTATTCAGTGAACATACTGTCCTTCCTGTTCCTACTAGACTGCATAGCTGAGATTTATAGAGGGCTTTAAATGTAGAGTGAAACTGAGGAATCTTCAGGGTTTTTTCATTGTGGTTCTATATTGATAATATTGATAAAAATAAATATTAAAAATTGCTGTTTTAAGTAATTTTCTTTAAATGCTAACTGTAAGCAGATGCCTTTCCGATTTTGTTCTGCAAATGAATTAAAGTCTCAGCTGATGTTGGTTCTGAAGTTTGGTTTTATTAACGTAGAAACTAGCAATATAAGTTTTTGTTACTCAAGTTAGTGCAAAGTTTGGCATATGGAAATTTTATCGCTTATGAAAAGTTCTTGACTAACTTTTCTTCCTTTCTCCCTCCTACCTTTAGTATAAAGGAAGATGGCCTTCTGATAAAGCCATTCCAAAAAGCAAAACAAGGGAGTGTGGTTCACAGACAATTCGCAGCTGAAGAATGGGATAGGTATCTTTTATCTATTTCTTTTGTGAGGCATTTTTCCCTTACTGTAAAGATAACTTTCACTCAAACATATTTGTCATTAACAGGGAAGAAGCAAGAAAAAGAAGATTTCACTTGATAGCGATGGATGCCGTATCCTTCTGTGTCAATTTTCTTCGAGTTTGAAGATGGGGCACAGGTTATCCATTATGGTGAAATACTAGGATTTCTCCATTATCACAAGAGTTGACACTGCAGCACATGATACTGAGTCATTCTTCAAATTAGCTTCTTTTTGTTGCTGAGATGTCTCTGAGAATGCTTCTACTTAGTAGAGGCATTTCCAGATTCTTCCTATATGCTCATTTGTCCTGCTTGGGACAAAATTACTATACAGTAGATTTTATTTAGACTGGCGCAAAGACACTTTGCTCTTTCTGTTGAGTTTATATAGAACATAATTCTATAAAAGGCTGCTGTTGTCTGTGGACAAATACATTTCTACTGGAAATTTAAGACTGCACTAGTTGATTCAAAAGTCTATTCAAAACAGCCTTATCTCCAGTAATATCTTCTACAAATGCTCTAATGTAAGCCTGTTTGATATCATGTGCAGTTTTATTTTAGGTTTGGGGTTTTTTAAAAATCTCTTAATCATATTTAATGCATAATTTGTAACTATTTTTATAACTACTACCTTATTTAGATTACAACCTTTGTCCTTTTATTTAGTTTTCATTTGTGGCAGTCATTACATATTTTGACTGAGCGTATCTGAAATACCATCAGTTCCTTGTTTGTTTAAATAGCTGTTCTTCAGCAGTAGCAGTTAAAAAATAGGAAAGTAAAGAGTGACTAAATATGGAAAGACTTACTTAAATCTGGACACTCCAGTAAACAGAAAGTAACTTCTCCTAACCTGCTTAGAATTTGAGCAGGTACTACATAAACCATCATATGCCTGTAGATTGTAATTAGCCACAGAAAAGCCCATATATTCTGTGGAATGACTACAAAACTTATTGTGTAGAGACTTTTATGAGTTCTGCTAATGTTTTTGAGTGAGTCCTATTTAAAACCTTTACTGTTATGCAATTTTAAAGCCTAGTTACTCAAATTGCAGCACAAAATGGTATGTTGTGTTAAATGTGTTTAATTGTGCCAGTTAAACCTTCTGTACTTTCTTCTCTGTTCCTTCTGTTTGTGGTGGAAAGAAAAAAAAAAAGACATATATTGAGATTAAGTTAACTTTTTTGAAGGCCTTTGAAGGATAACATTTTTTTCTCAATAAAATTTTAATGCATGTCAAAATAGTAGGTTGATACAAATTATTCACACTGATGCAGTAGATGCCAGGATATGTACCAGAAGATAATGTATTTCCTAATTTGCTGCTTCAGAAGCACCATACAAGTTAATTGACAGTATATTTGAGCAGCTATATATAATGTTTTTATTTGTGGAGATGCTTATATTCTGAATAAGTAATTACATATTTTTGCTCAGATTATGGTACAAAATGTGTTTCAAATCATGTCTCTGAGGCTGAAGTGTTCTAAAAAAAGCATTACATATTTTCCCATGGTTTTAATCTCCAAACTGAAGCAGGTAACTTTTATTTTTATGTTGATGGTAAAATGTAATAAAGTGTTCCATTTTAGTAGACAGGCCATTTTTTTATAATACAAAAATACAAACCTGTTTTTAAACCAGAACTGCAATACTAAGAAGCTGTTGTCTAAATTGCAGCTGGAAAAATGAACCCAGTTTCTATGTATATGCGTACAGAGCATCTTTGATAAAGGAAGACAATTTTATAAAGGTCTGGCAGCTGAATGAGGTTTTAAAGATGAAATTGCCTTGAATTCCTGTATTTGGAAAGTGGCTTTTATGGGAGGTTATTAAGTAAAAATTGCTAATTAATTTCTTCCTTTCTGGAAATTACTGAACTCTTTTTGAGGGGGGCGGGGAAAACTTCTTTCTGTTAAGTATATTAAAAAATTGGTTTTGTTGTTGGGTTTTTTTGGGTTTTTATTTTGTTTTAAACTATGGTGAAATAAAAATAGATAAGTTCTGAAACAATCCTTAGTTGCTTTATTCAGTATGAAAGACATAAGAAGTTTGTACATGACTACATTTTATACTATGGTGGCAAATTAGAGGATTTCCGACGTTCTGGGTAAGAACCATTAGCAATCTTTCCCCTCACGCCCCTAAAGCTCTCCTGTTACGTAGAGCCATTAAATATATATTATAGCTTTGGGGGGAGACGGGGATATGGCAATGTATGAAATTACTAATTCTTTTGGTCACAAATAGTAACTACAGTCATTGTAAATATCCAAACCACAGAATTGCCTTATTTCGTTTTGCAACATTATTTTTATATAAGAACTTACCGTGAGCAGAGTTCATTTTGTTTTGTTTTGTAAAAGGAAAGATGACAGGTGAGCATTACTTGAGAGTACATTGAGAGATATCTGGCAGTACCTTCAAAATAACAATCTGAAATACTTTTGAAATGTGCAGAATTGCTACCCATTGTCCAGAATAATGATAACCTTCTTTAAAGCTGTCTATAACTGCATTCTAACATTATTGTCTTCAATAAAAATTATAAAAAGTATTTTCAGGCAGGATCAAGTCATCCACAGTTTCAGTGGCCATTTTGCACTGAGAATTTATCATTTGGGAAAAGGTATGCCAGGAAATATATTTTTGATAGTTTTATTCCATAGCAATATATTCCTTTATGCAGTGAGATGAGGATCACAACTGTGAGATACTGATGTTTACCAAATTATTATTTGACTGACTTTTCATTTTAATGTTACATTGTACTGAAAAAAATGTGTCCTTTTATAGAGCAAATGACAAGACGGATCTTGATGTTATTAGAGAAAACCATAGATTCCTGTGGAACGAAGAAGACGAAGCAGACATGAATTGGTACCTGGAACTATTATAGAACATGTTATTTTTAGATTACTTGTACTAAATTTGCGATGTCCCCTACTAATTAAGAATTACTGTGCGTACTTAGTGATCATTCTTTGATCTGTAATGCATTTAAAAATGAAAGACCTTTAGGAGGTCTTTCATATTGTAATATTGCTCAGTGGCAAAATTAATTGATGACGGAAAGAACTAAGAAATATTGTTGCATTCCCTGAGATCCAAATGACTGTTCTGAAAACTCTGAAGGAAGCCTAGTTTGAAAAAATATGGTTTGACTTGTGCTGTAGATATATTTTAGATGTATTTTTCCAGTTTTATGGAAATTGGCCCTTAGCTCAATGAGTGTAGTTCTGTTGCATTTCTAGCTCTACAACTTGTGTTCTTCAGATGAAACATGTCTTTGTCTTGCTAATATCATTATAATATAAAATTAATTGTATCATGTTCTATATTTAATAAAAAATAATACCTTTTGTTATAGGGAGAAGAGGCTTGCAAAGAAGTATTATGATAAATTGTTCAAAGAATACTGTATAGCAGATCTGAGTAGATACAAAGAGAATAAGGTACGTTTCATTATTGTAAATCATCTTGGGTTTAAAATATGTCCTTTTTTAAAAATTGCCTTATGATTGTGGATATGTTGGGAAACTAGAATGTTAGTACCCCTTCCCTGGAAAGAGAGTTGTGAGAAATTGTCAAGTTATTTAATAAGCAGCAGCAGTTTGAATCTAAGCATTGTCACTGCCCCAAAAATGTGCTTCTGTGGAAACAGGAACTTTTCTGTCAGATGGTGTTTATGAAGAGGTGCATTGTGTGTAAGAAAGGCAGAAAATGCAGAGAGGTTAAGCAGAGAAGGTTTGAGAAGTTTGCCTGGAGACGAGCAAAAAGCAAAAAGAAAACCCTGGGAATATTATTGTTTAAAAAAAAAAAAAAAGAGTCTAGAAAGAAAGTTTTGTACTTGAGTGCTGGCAGAAACAGTTTTGGAAATGTCTGTTCTAAAGCAGTGTGTTTTACTGGTTGTTCTTTTCTGTTTATGGAAACTGGATTTGTATGCTGTATGTTCATTGTAAATAAACAGCATTTCTTAAGAGAAACAACCACATTCCAGCATCAGTTTTTCTTCTTAACTGGAACAGCCGTTATCGTTTCCAGGTTTTTGACAGACTGACCTCTTAGTTAAAAAAAATATGTGAATTTTCTATTGTGATTTTGCAGAGTGTTGCTGAACTCAGATGTGTCTTTGTGTTGTTAGCTCATAGTAACAACCCAGCCTTGCAAACAGTGTTTCTATAAAAGTTATTTGAGACTATTTATAGTATTGAAAATTCCATTCACTAGTAACTATTTGCAAGGACTGGGCTTAAACTCTAATATTAGGCAGAAAACATGACAGCCTTCTAAAGGAAATTGGACAGAAAAATGTAATGAAAATTAACAAAAAGTAAAATGCTGAAGATGTCTTCCCTTCTTTTTTTTGAGTAAATTTGATTTTATTTTCCTTTATTTTCCTATAGCTGTTTCGTATCCCTCAATCTCCTTCCCGCCAAGGGATCTTCCCTTGAGCCTGCTTACAGATTTTGTTTCTGTCACTACTGTGCCAACTTTCCGTATGTTTGCTATCTTTTGTGGGAAACTTGTGCCCCAGTTTCCTTTTCTTTTTTTGGGTGTTGTGTGAACAGTGTTTCCCTGTCAGACTTCAAATGTGGCTGTCCTAACTTTGAGATCACTCTGAACTCCTATTTATGCTCATAAGTCACTACCTATATTTTTGGGATTGCCATGTCAGCATAACTCTGCTGTATCATGTAATTTGTTCTCTTGTATTAGGTTATGCTTTCTGTTCTCAAATACATTCTGACCATGTGAGAGTCCTTTCTTAGAAATTCATAGAAAAAATTAGATTCTTCTCATTTTTTCTTCTCTTATTGATTTATCTATGCTTGTATTCAGTACAGAAGGGTATCTTGGAAGTCAGAAATAGGCTGCTGATCAGTTCCCATTCACACCAATAGAATGCAGTCTGTGCTTTCAGATTTTTCCTGCCTTGATTTTTTTTTCTGCGTTTCCAGAAACTGGGAGCTGTATATTTTTAGCCCCTCGTGCCTTCTGTTTTGCAGTGCTGGTGCTATGAGAGGTGCAGCATAGGTAACAAGCTTCTCACTGGCCAGCCTTTTGGCTGATAGCTGTTGATGCTTTATATGATGATGCTTCATCTTCATATAAGAAAGAAGTTTTTTTTAAGTGAGAACATTCATCCACTGGAACAACCTCCCCGGTGACATGGTAGAGTCCCCATCACTGGAAGTTTTCAAGATGCAGTTGCTCAGGGTGCTAGAAAATCTCATGTAAGTTCCTTTTCCCATGAAAGGCTGGACCAGATGATCTTTTGAGGTCTCTTCCAACCTGGGCTGTTCTGTGATTCTGTGTCCTGCTAGGTGGTGTCAAAGTAGAGATCATTTTTTTGTGATTTTTTTTTAATATATATATAGTGTAGATGGAGACTTGCACGTCCATACTCATCTGTCTTTTCACAACTGTAATTGCTTTGCTACTAGCCAAAGTCTTCTAGCCAGCTAATTCTTCTGAAGACCTCTGCATAGAGATTGTAGCTCAGATCTCAGATCTCATTTAGAACTTTTCTTCTGAGACAAAACATTGTTTTCTTAAGTGCTGGGTAATTCTAAGGACCAGTTTCGTGGGAGAGACTCTCTTGAGGTCTGAAAAATAAGCAGAGCACCTTGTCAAAGACCACAGCTCAAAAGAAAACAGTAAGAAGCCCCAAGACATACGAACCTCCGAGGCCACAACCACACTCCACTTGCTGGTTCAGAGCATTTCACTCACATACGTGTGTGCTTGCACATGTACACAGCAGTGTCTGGGACTCACCTGGTCCCATAGCAGACCCCTCTGTATCCTTGGAGATACATATGTACTGTCACACCCAGAGTGGGCCAGTGGAGACCCACTCACCCTCCTTGCTCCCAGTCAGTTTCACCTAGCTGATGGCTGGTCTGACGTGGTCTTCCCTGATGGTCACACACTTGCACACCTCCACTCACCTTGGTTGCTAGTACTGCAGGCAAATGGGACCCTGTGACCCACAGTCCCACTTTTCTTTATGTAGCTAGGACATACAGTCTTTTTCTTCTCTTTTAATGAGACACCTCAAGGTGACCCTCTGATGTGAGGCTACTTAGAGACACTGTGAGAGGGTGCTCTGACAGCTCTTGCTTGTGGTTTGTCTGTTACTCCTTACATTTTTCCTAGATCAGAACTTTTTAGGTCAAGGTTGTCTTTGAACCTCAGTGCATCTTGTCTGCAAGCTTTGAGGCTGATTAATGACCGTCTGTATTGTCAGATAGTTCAGTTCTATTGTCAGTTTTGCAATGCAGTAAGGAAGAGTGCTCTGCATGTAAGTTTTACTTTAATACGCATTGGACTAGAAATGTTCTCTTTGTTGTTTTATTTTCCCAGAAAGATTCTTATTTGATGTCTCTGTGCTTTGTTTTGTAGCTTAACAGATTGGAAATGTCTCCCATTTGCTAAGAAATGAAATCTGTCTGACACCTGGTCATTAAACAGAATACATTTTATTCTTTTGTTTTTATTTCCAGATCATTTTCAGATTTCTAGGCCAACTTGTCTTCCACTTGGTAATGTTAATATGTTGGCTTCTGTCATTGTTTTTCAGCATGGAAGGCTTTTCTGTGAAAATAAAATTATTTTAAATATCTATGGTATTTTTCCACAATGTTTTCTAAATTCATACGTTTCTTTTTTTCCTGAAAGAGGTGACAGTGGACATGTTAGTTGTTGCTGTAGTCAGTGCATATTACAAAACCAGTCCGTATTTAATTTGGCAATCTTATTGTTTATTGATATTAAACAGTCTTTCACATTTTTATAACTATCATTTCTTACTTAGTTAGCCATTTGACACTCTTATATCTATCTGGTTTGGAATAGTTCTACATGGTCTTGGTCTGCCTTATAGAAATAGCTCATTTGGGCTCTTGTTGAACTCATTTAACAAAGAAGATGAGGCAGAATGATTCTTTTGCATTCCTTAATATTGCATATTAATATTAATATTCAAGAATGTACCCTAATTTTTAAATTTCCTGTACAGTTTAGTCCGTTCTTGGTATTTTAGCTCGGTTAGAGGAATTCAATTGTATTTACTTTTTATTTTATTGTTTCTTCTTAGCCTTGGTCACTCTGTCATTTTCCACTAGTTGCTGGAACAATGACTGTCAAAAATGAATATGAACTAGATGTACTACAGGTGGTTCTGGCTCCCTCCTTTATTTTATTTTGCTCATTTTTCTTGATACCATCACAGAAATACTCTGTAAGGGTATAATCTGATTTATATCATATTGAGTCAGGTTTGAAGTGCGAGGGAAAATCTGTGTAAAAGTCTATTTCAGTAGCAAAAGTGAGCATGGGTAACTCAGTGATTGGTGAAGTTGTAGATGGACTATGAAAAAGCAAACATTAAGATTGGATTGGTTTTTACTCTTTATTGCCAGCAGCACACACATGCAAAATTGGTGCCAAAATACTGTTGACATTTAATTGTAAACTTGCAGTATTTTTGAGTTGCATCACAAGCTTTTCAGAATTACAAAACCCGCTAAAACAGCAAATATCCTTTAAAAGAGCAAACACAATTACCATCACTGTTTAGATCAGCTGGTTTCCATCATGAATTCTACATTTACAGATATATTTTACATTCTGTTTTCACTGAACTGTTCAGCACAGTTCTTAGTTTTTACATATGATTAATTTTTGTTTGACTGAAGTGTGAGTGGTAGAATGGTACTTTAGACCACAGTCCAGATTTGTACAGTAGGCCAAGCACAACTTGATCCAGCCTTAGCAAACTGTCATACGCAGTATGGAAGCAGAACTTGATCTTCTCCTGTGATTTCTTTACCAGTGAAACCTGTAGGTGTGAAAACTTTGTTTATGTTCTAATACCAATTTGAAAATTTGTGGACTGATTAAAAGAGGCAAATATTTTGTCAGTGTACAAATTTTTAATTTTCTTAGACATCTTCTGTGTAATATATTGAGTTGGGGAAAATGAATGCTGACAAAACATTTGACTACTGATAGCTCAGATTTTTCAGCTCTGTTATTAAGGTGCAAAATATTTGTATGAGTATGGCACATTCTTAAGAGCCAAAACTTTTGTCTCCCTGTTTTTTCTGATGTTCTTTGAATGACATACCACTTCATGCATGAGAACTCCATGCTATTGCCCTTCAGATAGGAATTATTATGGTTTATTAAAAAAATCAACAGCATTAAAGACCACACAGAGCAATAGATACCTGGACTTCTGTACAGTGTTTAAAATTGAATTAAAAATATTGAAAATCAATCCAGTATATTACTTAATTTATGCCACTACATCTACAAAATGCACGTTTCTGTGGGTTCAGTCTGTGAGTGCACCAGGAGAAGGTTCATATTCCCAATGAACTTTGGAACTCAGGTGCCAAAGATGGGCTTTGCAGCCACTTTTGTACCTCTAATTTTGTAAGCCTTCTTCCCCCTCTTCCCTCCCCATGAAGTTCAGAGTCTTCTGTGCTTTGCTTACTGAGCAGCAATTTTATCTTCTTGTCATCCTGTGTTCATGACTTTTAATAAAAATACAAGATAGGCCTTTTTGGAGAAGTTGTGCACCTCTGACTTTTATCCTCTCTTTCTACTTGTTAGCGAAAATAAAATTCGTTTTCCCAGGCTGTTCTCACTCCCTTCCATCTTCAGACTTACCCCTTTTCCCCATTTTGAGAGGACGAAGCAGATTCAACTGGAAAACAAAAATAGTAGATGGCTTATCTACATGTGAAGTTTCTAGGCAATGTGAAGAGAAATACAACTTAGTTTTTGAGTTGGGGTTTTTTTTGTCTTAGTCTTCAGGGTGTGAGAGGTGATCCACTGTGCTAATACAACTTTTTGGTATTCCAGTGGTCTTCTCAGTGGACAAAATTGCAGTGAAGTGAAGAATCTAGTAAAGTCAGTCTATTCTGATTTCCTATTTGTTCTTCTGCCTGATGTGAAACCTCTTAGAAAGTTGCTGTTCAGTAGTGAATAGCATCTACTGGAATTTGAATTGCGTGCATGAATTGGAATCCTTCTGGCACGCAGGGGCAGAGGGATACTTTTAATTAACAGAGGAAGGAGTTAAATTTTACTAACCAGAACTGAATGGATGAACCATGTGCAGGACATCAATCAAGTGAAATTAGTCTTTACATGACTGAATACATAGACTATTCACAACTTAATTTTGGTTCTTATCTTAACAGTTTGGATTTAGATGGCGAAGTGAGAAAGAAGTAATTTCAGGAAAAGGTAATGCTGTCTTTCATTTTATATTATGTCTCTCCTTGGTTGGTGCTTTTCTTTCTGCTTTTTGTCATGATTTTGTTAGACAGTATTTGACAATACTGGTAAATTTATTGGATAGTAATGGACAATAAATTGACCTAACTGCTAACTTTGCTGTGTTATGCCATATAACTCTGGGGTGCATGCTAATCTGCATAAATTAAAATTAAGTGAACATATGGTTTATTTTCACAAGGTCAAATTTGTAACGAACACCAGCAACCAGCATAATGCATTTTATAATGTAGAATTTCCTGGATATGTTTTATCCAGTAGTTCTGTTGCCTTTGATACCTTTACTTGAAGTCTCTCAGTATCTTTCCTCAGGAAATAATTTTCTTAACAGTTTCTCCAATGCTGTTTTGCAAATTAAAGTTCCGTGTGGGATTTCTGTTTGAGGCTAAATTGGTTTTGAAAGCTTCAGTGCAGATCAGTGGGAATGGTTGTCATGTCTCCCAATCCTTTTTCTAAATCAGTAGCTTATTCTGCCTGCTGCTTTTGCGAGTTCTTACCGCTGTGTTATTGGGACTTTGCACAGTGGTCCCCGTTCCATGGCCTTGGGGCATGGACTTGTTTCAAGTAGCTGAACAAGCAAGAAAATGATGGGAATGTATTGCTGTTCCCGTGGACAGATCTTCATACAGATGTACAGTTTTCAGAAGTCATGCATGCACACACAAGAAAATTGCAGGGAGTGTTGCTGTTGGTCAGAACAGTTCTGTAAACAACTCTATTTATTATAATATATTACAAGAAGTTAAAAATACAGGTTTTTTTTAAAAAAATGTATCATATTTCACAGGAGAAAGTGTGAACATTAATGGTGGTTTTTTTAAGCTATAGAGATGGAAGCTTATAAAGGTAGTTGTAGTCATATGTTGCATTCAGCACTACAGTTTATATTAACCGATAGTTACCTTTGATACATGCTTAATCAAATGCTTTTATAAGATAATTAAAATTAAATGAGAAATGAGTAATTTATGAACAATTATGTCTTCATGGGGAAAAAGAGTTTAAAGCTGCATTGTACTTTAATATATGGTACTCCATATTTAGAAAAGTGCGAGAAAGTGCAGAATTAAATGTTTTAAACGTTTAAATGAAATCCTAGTGGAAAGTGTACAATTGCAACATAAGAATTGAGCAATAGTGTCTTTCACCACTAAGGGGAGCAAGAATTCAACCCGATCTCATGTACTAGACGCTCTTTTCAGGTGCGGTTTCAAATGATCATTCAAAAAAAGGTGTGAATCTTTAATGCCTTTCTTTTGCTGTTTTTAAGTATAAGTCAGTAATATAAATTGCTTTTATTAAATGTAATAAAGCATTAATACCTACCTGTCTGATAATTCACATTTAAAAAGGGAGAGCAGGTGCTTATTTTAGCTGTGACAATAGTATGTGGGGATGAGAGCCACTGGAGGTGGGCTCTACTATGGTGTATGTTAAGAAGGGAACATAGGGATGGGTTACTCACATTTGGTCACTTTGTTTTCGATGTCTGTGTTTGTAAGGTCATGGAGAAGAAGAAGGTTAGGATGGGTGAAAGGAGAGGTATCGCATGTATTACTAATGGTAAATGCCAGATTACTTCTTTCTCTTCTTTCCCACTCCAGTGTTCTGCTGTAGGAGTTTTGAGAGGAGGTCACATTGGAGATGGCTGTTGTATCTCCTTAAATTTAAAATGTAACCTTAATGGCAGTTAACGGTGTAATACATTGTCAGTTTCAATAAACGGTTCCAAAAAATGGGCATTTTCTTAATTAAAATCTTAAATTAAGGTAGAAACCCTTCCATGTAGGAACATGAGTTAGCTGATCTGAAAATAAATCCTTAAAATGAAGAGCTTTTACGCTATTAAAAAATATATATTTGACATGTCTTCCCAAGTATTTTTCTCTACTTTCAAAGCATGAATAGTAAAGTATGGCATAAAATTTGGAAATAAAAGGTTCTTTAGGCAAAAGATGATAGTGGTAGAAATTTTCTCTAAGAAAATATGTAACAAGTTCATTGGGTAGGAGTGAAATAGGACTTTTTCAGCAATGTGCAGAAAGAGCAAAGCTGAACATGTGGGTATATTTGCTGTTTTCTAATTATTTGTCTTTGTAGATTAAGTAGTAAAATACTCAAACCAGATATATTATTTGGAAAAATAGGGTTTAATACCTGCAAATTGATCTATTCTCAATTTTTTCACTATTTCATTGAACTAATGTTTAACTTCTAGCATAGTAATATCTTTCTTAGCCTATATTATATATGTATAAATACACATATAATATGATTTACCTTATTTAAACAAATATTCTTCCAAACCTGTTCCCATTTTTTTTTTGCTCAGTAATTTTGTCCATGGAAAACAGGCAGGGTATCAATACCTGGATAGTGGACCGTGTATCTGTGTACCAATTTGGTACTTCTGAGTTCTGGTCAGAATGCGTTAACTTCAGTCTTTTGGGTCACTAGATTGCCTTAGTATATTTAATTTTCAGTACTTCATTTAGCTTGTTATGCATATATTTTTCCACATGTTTTGCTCTTCTCCAAGAGGCAGAAGGTGCTGATAGTTTTTGATAGCACACATTTAACAGCTAGATAATAGGAGTTACAGTTCTGAACATGAAAGCAATAACTTCCCTGCAGCTCATAGCAAGGTGACAGAAATTCAGATGGAAATGGAATTTTGGACATACATTTACGTTTTTCTTGCTGATTAAATGAAGTAACTATCCACTTGGCACACTGATTCCCGTGTCTCCCTTTCTTGGACGTGGGAAAACTGTGGGAAAAGTCATGTTTCAAGTACTGAATAATCTGAACCATAGTTCCCTTTGATATGGGTTCTCCATATACATGATGGGGATTACAATGATCTCTTACTTTCCAAAAATATATATTTTTTAATGCTTTTATGACATTCAGATATACTAGAGTGATAAATACTACTGAAAAAGCCTTCAGAACGTGTGGAATTCCCTATTCAAGTCAAGGTTTGAATGTGTTGTAGGAATTGCAGTGTGAAAGGAGAGTAAGAGAAGCCTGGCTGTTAATACATACGTATGACATGGAGCAGGGATTTACTAAAAAACACCATGATTTCAGATATTTAGATGATCAGCAGCTAAGTATAAATAAAACTGATGTATCTCTTTCTTCTCTCTGCCTGTTTTTCTGAGTTAGTTTGGGGATTTTTTTCAGAAAATGTGACATTAAACACAGTCTGGTTAAATTCCAGAAGTTTTATATAGTATAAAGTTTTCCGTGTAGACTTGTACTTCTTTATAATGGATATAAATTATTCCTGATGACACATGATACTGGTAGCCATACCTTACATAGGGTTAAACATATGTAATGTATATTAATTTGAAACTTTTTTAAAATAAGAGTCCTGTTCAGTGGGGTTTTTTGTTTCAAGTGCTAGCATTGCAAGTGATTTTATATTATAGCACTGAAGTATTTGAGGACAGTGCCAATCCATTAGTTAGCAGCTTAAGCAGAATGCTTTGAGGTTAATCATTCACCAACAGTCCTGCTTGTGAGCCTATTAATACACATCCTTACCACCAGCTCTGCATACAAATCAGCCTTCTGCAAAGGGAATATATGTATCTTTATTACTGCAATATTGGGAACCTAGTGTTGTAAACAACATTGATTATGTGCAAATCATTTTAAAATCAGTGTTCTATTTAACATAATAAACCCAAAGAAGCTTTTAAAGCTGCCATATAGTTTCTCATAGGATTGAATTTTCTTTTCTTAAAAGAAAAGTGTTTATGGGAAGTCCTTAGAATACAAATTGTACATCCAGTATATCAGGTAAACTAGTAAGGTAATAAGAACATAAGCATCTTAATTTTGTACATATATAATACTTTGAATAGTTCGATCTCATTAAAAATGTATGTCTGAATCAGACCTTCTAATCCATCAGCCTCTACTGAATAAGTCATCATTTAGGATATAGAATGTACCCTAGTGGCATTCATTTCTTCAGAGTTCAGTATTAGGCTTATTATTTCATAACATATGGCTTTATCTATACATTGTAAAACACAGTTCAAGTTAGGTTCTTTCTGCAAATATGCAATATTAGACAAGTATGATTGATTGCTTTCTCATTGTCTGTTAATGTTTCCTTAATCTAGACATTACTTTTAAATTTGTATTTTTTTCTTTGAAATAAATGAAAAACAAAAAGCCAAAACTGAGCACAACTGGAAATAACAACCCCATATCTATGCCTATTAATCATTGAACCATGGTTTGCTGGTTTTTGCCTCTTGAAAGGTCAGTTTTCCTGTGGAAATAAGCACTGTGAAGAGAAAGAAGGCCTGAAGAGCTGGGAAGTGAACTTTGGTTATGTTGAACACGGTGAAAGGAGGAATGCACTTGTGAAATTGAGTAAGTCAGCCCTTTGAGGATATATACACTTAATATCTCGTGCTTCAAAAGCTGTTGAGTGAGACCCAATGGTAACAGCTCATGGGTCTTCAGTATAATTGTAGGACAATTTGATCCATCCACATAGATCCATAAAATGTGGTATCTGTACATAATAAGCACTGATAGTTTTTATGAAAAGTTGTCAGTGCCAAACCTTTCTCCAGGTTTAGTAAAATCTGCGTTTGTACTGAAGACTTTTATAATGTTATTTTTCTTAACTCTGGCAGCAATTACATTGTAACTTTTGAAGGAAAAGCTATTGAAATTGGAAGATAGTGTTCTATCTAGTTTTACATATGTTAAGTTTTGTCAGTTATGCTTATCAAATACACAGCTGTAATGTTTTCATTCTCTCTTTTTCAGGAGTATGTCCAGAATGTTCCTACAAACTAAACTTTCATCACCGGTAATGAAATATTTTGAAAATAGGGGGGCTGAATTATTGATAAGTTACAGTTATGATTAACAGCAAATAGGGGGAAAATTTTAGATAGTGATTAGAAACTTAATTTAGACTGAAATGCATTCCATTCTGGAGTTCTGATGAAGTCACTGGTTTGACACAGTTGAGAGTTAGATATTGTTGTGCTAATGAAAGTGCAAAACCCCTCAAACCAGAAGAATACTGTACCACCCCCAAAAGTTGCCTTCACTTAATTCCAGCTCAGTGATTATTCTTTTCTGAAAGTTTATGCAAAACAGTCATTTTTGTTTTCTGCTCTTGCTCTGTTTAAGAGCTAGAATGCTTTTTCTTTTCTAAAAAATAGTATTTTTGTGTGAGTCAAGTGACTATGCTTTGAAATTTTGAATTTGAGTATGTGTTGTTTGAGAATCACTTATTAATTAATAGGAGAGAAAGTGAATTTTGAACCTATAAAATGTGTACATTAACATTTGATTTGTTATTTCTTGTTACTTGTAATCTTACTGAATTCTGTAACTATTGATATTCTGTTTTTATGGTTTTCTGGATCTCAGTGTGGTTTTAACTTAATAATTGAGCTGTAGAATTGTCTGAAGAGCATGTGAAAGGGAAACCTTTGAGCTAGAAGGCACAAATCAAAGGTGCATCTAGATGGATATATCCAAGATAGTTAATTAATCCATTTTAAGTGTTAATTCATATTCGGTTTCATTACAGCACTGTGTAGGCACATATTAAGGAGAATTAACTAACTGAAATTAGTTTGATCTGTCTTGCTTATTTTTCGAACTAAAATTTTAAAACCACTTGTTTTCAGAATAAGCATGGTCAAATGTTTTCTCTTCGTCAACTGTGGAGTAACGCTTACTTTGAAACGATTTTACTGACTTATTTGTGAAAACAATCAGGAAGAAATTAGCCTATGTTCATACAGTAAGCTTGTATAAGTAACACTGAAAATAAAATACACGGGTAGTTGGTCTGCAGCATGTTCTTAGGCTTGAGATTTTTCTACTTCAGGTTTTGTTGCTATCAGATATGAAAATATATTTTAAAACCTGTATTAACTGTGTTTTTCTCATGACATATATACAAAATTATTTACTACAAAAAATAAGATTTCAATATAAATAAGAATATGACGTTATAAAGTTATTTTCTATATTTAATCTTTAATTGCCAGTTCACTGGTTTTGTTACCTGCATCAGTGTCATTTTAGGAGCTTTAGCAAGTCCTGTGTTCTACCTTCAGCTATACAGCACTAGTGTTTCTATAGCACTTTTCATTTTAACTAAATTCATTTTTTTCAATTTAACTAGTGATAGATTTCAGAAAAAATGACAACTGTTTGAGTGAATTAGATACTTAAGATTTACTTTGCTTAAGGAGTACATATCGTAAAGCTGTACATTTATTTTTTTGAAGGAGGAAAGAAGTCAAAGCACACAAGAAAAGAGGCGCAGCTGTACCAAACTCTAAAGAGCCAAAAAATAAGAAGACAAAATTATCTTGTTCGGCAAAAAAGAAGTCCAAAAAAAAGACACATAAAGGTAAATCTAAATTTTAAACCTGCAGTTTTTAAAATATTCAGGTGTTAGTTGAACTTTAGTTTTGCTATAGCTACATATGTACAGATGATAGATACAGAATTTTGTATAAATATAGAAACATCACTTTCTTGACTGTGTAACACAGGTAGCCAAAAAGATAAATTTCTTAGGTGAAATTTCCTAGGTAAACAAAAAAGATAAATTTGGAGGGTTAAAAAAAAAAGAGAGGGAGAGCCTTTTGAAAAACATTCATTGCAAGGAAAATTTGTCCAAGAATTGGGCATTGCATATCAGAAAGGGTTCTGAACTATCTAATTTCTTGAGGCTTTGGGGTTGAAAGCCTTTTGGAAATGTCAGATAACCTTTTTTACACCCCAGATCTTGGGATAACATATTTGACCTCAAACTGATGACCTTTGAACTCATGCAAAAAATATTTTTACTGCAGTGTTTGCTTGCTTTCTTTGTACGTATGGTGTGTGCATATGCACATGTTTATGTGTAGTACATTGTGATAGAAATATCCTTGTAAACAGTTCAAGGTAACAGATAAAACAAGATAAGTTTACTATATTTTAAATGCCATTTCTTTTCAGATCAGGTTTCTTCAGAAGATTCAGATAATTCTGACAAAGGTAAAGTATTTTAATATATTCTATGTTTTATGTTTTTATAATAAATTGTATTATTTCATCATCATTTGTCATTGATCTTAGTTTTATTCATGGGCAGTTTTAATATTTTGTGTGATAAGAATGCTGTGTGAAAACAGGCAGGGATATGAAGGGTCAAAATAATTACCTACAAATTCTTGGAGAAAAACTGAAAGGAATTTTAGGAAGGAAATTTTTAAAGTTTAAGTAAGGAATAAAAATGTGGGCAGATAACAGAATGGAAATAATCAGGAAAATGAGAGGTCAGGTTGTTCCAGAAAAAGAGTAGAGGATGCAAAAATTGGTACATTATTAATAACTGCATAGGTCCAGGTATGTGAATATGTGCTGTGTGATGTATGCTGTGTCAGTACTTTTCCAATGTAGTAACTACTACATTTCCTTTCAGGGAATGATACTACTATGTACTCTACTCAAAAAAAAGATTTAAAATGAATCCTAGGCTTTAACCAAAGTTTTTTCCCCAGCTACCACCTGTGGTACCTCAGAGACCTACTTGTTGCCAGTGGATGCACGCAGAGCCTCAGGGACTCCTTAGGCACTGCTTCTCTCTGTATCTCAGTAATTCAAGTCCCCACTTTCTTTTCTGATGAAACAAGCCCCATCTCCTGGTCGTGCTAGTTCTTGCTGCAGACTGTCTAGAAGGAACTGGGTGTTTCTACTGCTGTGCTATATGTTTTTAGGAATGTCTTCAGCACGTTTTCCCAGCTAGATACAGGAAGACCTGAGGCAGTTTTTTTACCACTTTGACCACGCCTAAAATCTCTGTTTTGTCAGGAAAGCTCTATTGGAAGGTTGTTTGGGGTTTTTTTAAGTTAGGACATATTTCTGATAACAAGGCTTTTTTGTTTTTCACTCTTGCTGGGGACTTACATGAAACAGTTATGCAGTAATCCATATTTTCTGACAATTTCACTGATACATTACAATTGATAAAAAATGTCATTCAAATTGGAGTAAAGTAATTGATTAATTCACTATCATGAGATGAAACTGGATCGTAATTCAGGGTTTGTGATTATAAAACCTTAACTTTAGGAATAAGTGTTTGGCCAAAATACCAATTAATGATAACTAAGTGGTTTTTTGATGCTGTATCGAGTAACATTGGAAAATGTTTTCATGTTCACTTTATTCAAAGTAACATGTTCTTTTTATTCTCATGGTTACAATTAAACATTGCTCCTAGCAGTATACCTTCTAAATGTAAAAAATGATAAATTCTTTAAAAAATTATTTCATAAGCACTTTAAACTTTTTAACAGATTTGGATAACAGCAATGCACAAGATGGTCCTTCAGATGCTGACTTTTGGAAAGGTCCTCTACAAGAAGCAGATGAAAAATCACGGTTAGTTTGATCTAGTGAACTTGTAGCTAGGAAAACATACAGTGTCCATTAAGAACTGCAAGAGCAGGGCTTTTTCCTCAGTGTTTTAATGACTATTCTGACATTTAAAATTATGTCAAATCTCCTTCCATGTAGTGAGCCTAAGAATGTGTTTTTAAAGAGGAGACATACACAACACTGGAGGAGAGCCTGTGCCAAGCCACTGCCATACCACTGCTGTCTTTCCCCCTCTCATACCATTAATTATCTTAGAAGTAAATCCTAACAGTCAACTCACTGCTGTTGCACAGATAGGTTAATGTGAAGAGTATTGGAATATACTGAATAGGTCAAAATTATCTATACTGGCTACAAATTCTAATGAGAAGTCTGATAGATCTTTTTCATACAAAGATTATCTCTTAGGTGCAGATCCAGAGCAGAACTTACTTTGACCTTTTTTTTTTTTTTTTTTTTCCAGGGAGGAGGAGTTTGATGAGTATTTTCAAGACTTGTTTCTCTGAAACTTAAAATTGATGTAGGCTGATTTTCTTCATGAATTGTCAAGATTAAAGTCTGGAAATCCAGTCATAATTAGGGACCAGAGACCTCTTTCTGCCGCATACCTTTCCTACAGTCACTGATGAACCATTTGAGTAGATTATCTTTGTAGAAGGCTTCACGACTAAAAACTTTCTTTTTCTTGTGGTTGGCTGTATACTCATGAAATAAGAGAAATATTTTTTTCAGTTTAGTGTAAAAGTTATATGGCACCCAAACTTAAAAGTAGGAAGGATGTAAACAAACAAGAGCATAAGTTATTGACGTTATATCACAGAAGTTGTCTGCTTTCTATTTTATCCCAAACTTCATTTATTGCCAGATTTTTGTAAAGAGGCATTTTGGAAGACTCTGTTATTAAAGGCATACACTTCAATATGTTCATATTTCTAACTTATTAAACAAGAGTTAATAGCCTTAAATTTACTGGTCATATAGACTTTAAAATGCAAGTATTTTCAAATACTATTGGAGAAGTTAATTTTTTATCAAATGTGTATTTTACTTGAATTAAGTAAACTATATCTGAAATATCACTCCTACTCCTTAAAAAAGTTTAGTTTGTTGTGACTTTAAAAAAAAATTTAGTTACAATACAATGTGACTGATAATTCCACTTATAAAAATCTGGTTGCTTGGTGAAGTTTTTGATGTAAAAAATAAAGCGTGTACATGTGACTTATGTTATCTGTGGTTTCTGATCTCCTTAACACTGATAGAATGTTAGTCCTACTTTAAAGTGTAATCCTAAATATACAAGTAAAGAATATATATTGCTTGAGAAACTTACTGGATTTATCTTCCTCTTCAAGCTGCAACACAACTTTAACCATCCTTTATTTTCTATTTCCAAATAAGCAGTCTGCACATGAATAATTACAGCGACTATTTTCTTTGTCGGATGAAAATTACTTCAGATATAAAGGACAAACTTTTTTAAAATTAAATGTTCATGTTAACCTGTGGAAAGTTAGTGTTATATAAAATATATTTTTGATAACTATTTCTTACTCTAGATACATTTATAGAAGGTATTTATAATAAGTATTTGATGTGGAAAACAGCAGAGATGGCTGCAGTGTATTTATGAACACTTTACATGCGCTCATATGAAGAAGTTGGGAACTCTCTTTACAAGTATTACTTAACATAATTACATTTTAAACAGTTTGTACTTACATAATAGGTGACAGTGCAAGGACATATTTAGGGTGTTCTTGAGTAAGAAATAAAGTTAACCTTTAGGTAAGAAGGTGGATTTAAAGGTTAATTCTCTGTCATCTTGAAAGCTTGGTTGAGAGTCAAATCCAATCTGCAGCAATCTGCTTACACGTGTGCAATTTGCCCAAAGGGGCTTTTGTCAAATGTGTTGCTATATTTGTTGCTTCAAGTATTGTATGTTAAGTATGTGTTCTGGATAACTAACTCCTCTTTGGGTCTTTAAAATACAGTTATAAAAAAGTACAGTATACATATTAAATACATAATTTAGTACAGTTTATATAAAAATCCATGATGAAACAACCTTGAAATATCTTGCTTTAGGATCTGCATTTAATACAGAAAATAATACATGATGTCCAGTTTTATGTCATAAGTAAGTTTGCATAAAATATTAGGTCCGTTTATAAATAAGGATGTAATAAGTGGGATTTTATTTTTTTGTGAATTTCTTTAATTTTGGGTGATAGTTGTACCCAGTATCTATGTTTGTAGAGCATTCTTTTAAAGCTATATAATATGACAAATTGTTCATTTTCCCTTCTCTGCAGCTGCTGAGGGAAAAAAATATGAGAATTTGCTATCTTTAAAGTGAGAAGAAAAGTGGCAGGATTGAGTCTGCATGTCAGACTTGTTCATTGAAGGAATTGCTTTTGACATCTGTCTCCTCTTAGGTTTGGAACTAGTTCCAGTAGATACTTAGACACGTGCATAATATACTAGCCATTTTCCTTCCTTCATCTGCAGCAGGAACCAGATTTGTGAGACCTGAGTAGAGGTATGGAGTGGACTCTCTCATTCTTCAAGAACAGAAGGCTTTGGTAGGGAGATCATTATTTATGAAGAGCTAATTTGTGTGCAATCTGTCCTCTTGGTTGTAGAAAGGAAGGTAATGTGAATTCTGGCTCCATTTCTGCTGTCCTCTCCCTCCCAAGAGTAAATTGGTGCCAGTTCATTGGTTTTCAAATACTGCCATTTACTGCATTTAAGAAAGGTGCCTTGGGAGTAGATGAGCCTTTTAAAATGCCTTTGAATGTAGATCCTGCTGTAGATATTCTTGTATAGGTATCTTAGTAAACTCTTACTTGTATGCAAAGTATGATGTTTACAGTTTGCCCCTTTAGATTTTTACAATGAAAGGTGGCCACTTCAGGAACTGTGGGCAGAGCCATTTGTAGATGGGCAAAAGAGTGGTTTCTCTGAGCTATGGATTTATCCTTGGTAGTTTTGGAAAAATACTGTGTACCATGAGCCTGCTTTTAATAGATATAAACCAGGGAATTGTGTCGAGCATTCCTAAAGTGAAGATGATGTTTACTCTAGAACTTTATATAGTATTGAGAATGAAGGAAAAGGACACAATTCCAGGAAATACACATAATATAAAAATCTAAATATACAAGTTAGGAAAAGCACTTTTTTTTGGTCTGAATTATAGATTATTTCATACTGATTTCATTCAGTAATTTCATGTAAGATCTGTCAAAATTATTTATAGTTTTTCTGAACAATGTGCAGGTTAAATATTTTAATAAAAATACTGTATATAAATTGTGTGACATGAAAAAATATTTAGAGTACACAGTTAACTCATTTTGCACCATTATTTTTTCTTTTAATTTTCCAGTTTGTAATTGTAACTGTTTGTTTACTCCATTAAAAACTATTTTGAACAAATGGCAAGTGTTTAAGAGGATTGTTAAGAGACTGATCTATACTACTCTATACAAAGCAAAAATCCACTGGGGCTCATTGAAGTTCTTTCTGGATGTCTTTCCTGTAGCGGAAACAGTGTCTGAGACAAAGAATTACAAAATTATACATGTTTTGGATTTTCCGTCCTCTCCACTTCCACCACCACCTCCACCACCACCTCCAGGTACACTTTCAGCTAAAACAAAACAGAGAAGGTAAAATGAGTATTTTCTGTTAATTTTAGCTGTTCTAATTTCGTGTTAAAAAATGTTGCTTTTGAGATATGCGTATTATGTGTGCTTGATCTTCTGAAAATTGAACACGATTTCACTACTTAGCTGTGAAAATGGAGTATGAAACAATAAAACATGCTGTGTGTGTGTGTGTGTGTGTGTGTGTGTGTGTGTGCATGTAGTGCAGCAGTTGATACCACCATTTCTTAAAGGACCAAACATGCACTGAACCACTCTTACTGGAAAGTTTCAGTAGTTAAATATATGTGTCCCACACATACAGAACTGAGGTATGAAAGCCGTGCAAAAGAAATAAACTCTTGGACCAATATAATCTATGAATCTTATTTTTTAAGCAGATGATACAAAACCTTTAATTTGATGTAATTGTATAAACCTTTATTCAACCCTGCATGAATCCTTTTGTAATTACCAGTTAAGAGAGAGACGCTTTTTCTGTTTGTTACCTGTAGCTACCGATTCTGTTACTGTCTCTCTCAAATGATTCCACAGATGTTCATTGGACATAGTTAAGATTCTTTCAGTGTAATAAATTGCGTTTCCAGGTTCAATTACGGTAATATACCAATATTAGAATTAAAACTTACATTTGAAAGCTGTGGATCATCATGTTACTAGGTCATTTTCGACCTTTTCCACCTGTATTGAAACATGTCACATAATCAGTGTCCTGCCCTCTGTAATTTGTGGATATAATCAACACTATGTTACTAACTATGTATTTTATTTTTTTAGTTTAATGCTCTCTTCTGTTTTAGTTTCTGTTCTGAACTTTCCGCTGTAGTGGTTCAGCAAATATGTTTATTTTGTTTTCTGTCTACTGAATGGCTAAGAATAGCCAGGTCAGTGTGATCTAGAGAAACTACACGGTTCAGTATGTATCAAATTATTGTTTGTATGAACTAACTTAACAAACTCTTGTATTTACATGGCCTTGATTTGACAGTGTCAGATCTGTTCTTCACAAGTGGGCATGGCCTCGTTCCAGTGCACATTTAAAAACATGCAAAATAATTCACTTACATTTAGTGATGCCAGTTATGATATGCAAAGGTCAAATCCTTAGCTCCTTCAGATCGTTCTGTCCATGCTTGCCTGTGTATGGTTCCTTGTGGGAAAATACTTCTTTCCTTAAGTCAGTGACTGAGTTATTCCGAAATACCAGTGATGTAAGATGGGAGTAGAAATAGCTGACTCTTCCTAAATGTATTATTTATTTTTTATATAAGAACCTTATGTTTAAGGACATAGGATCAGACTTTAGTAACTATACTCTTTGCTAAGAAAGCAAATGTATATGAGGTTGGTGTGCAGGTCCTGGGTTGTTTTGTTTTGTTCTGATGGTATTTCTGTGAAGCTCAGACGCTTACATTCCAGTGTAAGGAAAGAGTACTTTGTTCATACTCACAACCAGCTAGTTCTCAGCAATAAATTAATCTTAAATAAATAAGATTATATAATTAATTGCAAAAAAGTGTGTTTAAAACTAAATCTGGGTGGGCATAATTTCTGTAGAAGTGTGTAAGTGGTACCACAGTGTGAGCAGACCAAAATAATTCTAATTTTATTACAATAATAACATTTGACTCATTTTATTAGACATTTCTGCTTTGATTAAGTCATGCAACTTACAGTACTTTTTAACCACTTTGCAAAAACATTTTTTTTTTTATTTTAGCTTAGAATTATTTATTTTAGGAGCCAATAACTCTAGCTCCTTTTCACACTCTGACAGTACCTTGATGGGTGGCCTTGAGTAACCTCTCTTTTGTAAGAAATGTGAAGAATACTCA